CGAACTTAGAGTACTTTACATAGAAGAACGTCTACACATTGAATTACGATATTGAATAAGTATTCTCCCACGATTGTTTTGTTACTGTTAACGATGTTCTTTCTCACTAATGTTCTACAACACTGCATGGGTTCTTGGATCAGCAAGTAATACTTCAGTGTAACGTATCAAGACGTGTTAAAATCACTATATGAATAAATTAGGGGCACCGATTTCAATAGGACTTGCTATACCCATCTTTGCGTTAGCTTTCCATTGCTGAAGAGTGGTAGTATGCCGCAAAGGCGCCACAATCCAAAGTCAGACCAAAAGCTGAAGGGTGGTAGTATGCCATAAAGACGCCACAATCTAGAGTCAGACCAAAAGCTGGAGTGGTAGTATGCCTTAAAGGCACCACAATCCAGCGTCAGACCAAAAAGAAAAACAGACTTGGGCTTTTAGCATATTTTTCTCACTAAAATGGGCGACTGAAACATTAGTAAATTTGTGATATTGCTCTTTTAATCCAAAAAAAATATATGCTTGCTAAGAACCACATTTAAACAATTCGCGTTCATGGAAGAAATTTGATACACGTTCACCCACAGCCTAGCTAATTAATAAGCACGTATTGTAATACTGTATTATTCGTTTACGCGTTACACGTTCAACCAAATACATTAACTGTAAATAGGCGTTAAAATCAGTACATTAAAACAATGAAATTAATATAAATTAAAACGTTCAAAATGAGACGGGAAATAAAAAAACTATTTTTAAATTACCAGTTCTTGTTGTCGTCAAGAGCTGGTAATGGAAAAATAATTTTTGATTTTTTAGCCTCATTTTGAACATTTCTGATTTGTATGCATGTATTATATATATTTACGTTTTGTAACTACATATTCATTACGAAATTAATGTAGCCACTATTTGTCAGTATTCTTCACTTTCCGTTTTCAAATCTTCTTTAATAACTTCCATGGCTACATAAACCGTAAAATACCAAGAAATCTCAAAACTGGTGAACATAAGTAAACGATAGTCATCTACAGCCAGGATACGATGAGGATCAATCTCATCGAGAGGGCTCGAAGTCGTGTTGTGTTGGAAGACGCCAACTGGATAAACGAACAGAAAATGTATCTGGATAACTGTTAATAACATTAAGGCAAAACTTTTAGGATAAAATTTGCATTTAGTGTGTTACTTTGTAATCTTAAAAAATATCAACAATAAAAAGTAGAAATTACGTTGGAGTTTTTCAGGATTTGTGGTGCATTCTGGAGGGATGTAGACATTTTGGAAATAAAACAAAAAAATTTACTCTCCAGGTGATAATAAAAACAAGTTAGCCGAAATAAGTTTTATTATTATTATTATCTGGAGAGTAAAAGTCGTTTTGTTTCTAACTTTATTATCAAAATTATAATGGTGTGTGAACTTTGTTCTCGAGAAGTAATAAACAAAGAGTTGGAAAAAACGTTTGTCACCTGTAAACACAAGAAAAGTTCAAGTTTACAGCAAATATAATTATTACTTTTTTTTGTTGCTTTTCACAAATTAGAATTATATAACTATTTATATTTAAATACCTCAACGTCTTGCACTCTAGCTGCTCATATTCGGGGGGTATACTCTGGTTTCATGTCTGTACTGCTGGATGTTTTAGTCTGGGATTGTAGGTATTTAACAGAAATATGACAAAACTTGTAAACAGGCTGACATACAGAATAGATTGTTTAGTAATACAACTGCAAACAGCTAGTAAACTTGTGATAATGATTTCCAAAACGATAAGGAAAGAATTGTAAAAATCAAAAATCATGTACTAGCATCCTCCGGGTTTTTATATTTTATTACTTAAAAAATATTTATATAGTATTATAGCCCAACACCAGGGAGCTTTATCATATCCCACACGCTGCAACCTTTCATAACCAGGAGTATGTTCGATTCGTAGCAATCTGCTAACAAATATTCCATATACAAGATATGACATACTGAGGGAGAAATGGTTATTTCCCGAAACGTTTACTTATCTACATTTCTGCCCGAATAATGTATTTCATCCAACAAAGACGTATTGATAAATTACTTTATAAAACAACAGAAAAACTGCAAGATTGTCCCATACAAAAGTTTTATAAGATAGAAAAAGTGGGATACTGAAAAATAAATCAGATCTTTGAAAATACATATGGTATTATCTAATATTTTATACACTCCATCTGAAGTGACGGTAAATTATCAAATATTTACAAAATGTTACTACAACAGACACGAAAATATATTTTCAAAAATAAATAATTTCACTTTCATACTTATAATTTCCTTATTTATTTCTCACTAACTTGCACATAATTCCTGTCCTGAAATCAGCTTTTCTGTACAGTGTATTAACATGTTTATCTTGGAATTATAAGATTTGCATCTTTACAGTTTTAACCAGTGTAAACCGTATACGAGGATTACTTATCAGCGAAAAAAAAAAAACACCAAGCAGACGTACTTAACCGTGAAGGACTCGCCACACTAAACAATATGATGCGTTCATCATGTGTTTTCATGTTACGATTACAACTTATACAAGTAGGTACGAAAAAAATCATTGGAGTTGAATAACCTTTCACGTCTTAACGTTAATATAGGCAAACGAGCACGGAATTTTATTACGTTGTACCTTACCTACCTTAGGCCAGCGTTTTTCAACTGGGTCTATCGGGATGCATTCGAAGCCCAACATTAATTTAATCACAACACTGTAATCAATATTGTGTTATTACTTTAAACACTCACAGAGTGATAAAATTTGTATTGAGTTGTTTCATACTTCCTGTTTGGTAAAACAGGTTAGACAATTTTGCTCTAAAGTATAACACGAAAATATATTGCCAGCAACAAAAATTGTATGAAAATGATAGAAGAAACATTCTTTACTTAAATTTACAGGAAGTGGGTTACCAGATTAATGTTGATTGCGAGTTTATGACAGACATGGCCGGTTTCTAGCGCGTCTATAAACCAACACGCACTGATTGGCTACTTTAAAAGCAATTTTACCTAATAACGGAATGAAAAAATTCATTACGGTAACAAACTGGACTCAGCGTAACAAACTTCATAATATTTGCGAATGTGTCTTGTTCCAATGTAGCACATTCTTCAAAGTGTGGCTGTTACTGAATCACAGATGTAAATAGAAATCTACAATGACTATTGGCTTAATGCGACATTTAAATCCACCCTAGAGATGTTTAACCGTGTTAACATCTGGTGAATATTGACCAAAGAAGTATTACTGAAAATCACTGTTATGAAAGTATAGGGATTGTTGCATTATTGTTTCAGATGAACACTTGTTTCTCAAAGTGAAAACGCAGATGTGGAATGAGTACGATCTGCAAAAAGATTCAGGTGTTATTCAGCTTTCTCCTGCTGGCAAAATGTTCCAAGTACTAGCATTATACCAGACAGAATTTAATGGCTTGTGTAATCTATAATCAGTAAAGAAAAGTACGAAAAACAATTTATCAGACCACATGCTTCCTGCCATTCAATATCCAAAGTTTACGATCTTAAGTAAGACCATACTTTACTGTTTGCATCTGACATAAGCTTTTTAGGCTGGCTGTCAACTATCACAGGGGTTCTCAAAATCTTTAACTTAAGGTTCTCCAAAATCTTAGATATCTTGGGAGAGCTCCAACATAATTTATAGAAATATTAAATAACAGTGATACTAAGGTATCTTACTTTTATTGTAGTTTGTTCTCTTTAAAAAATATATCAAGCATAAACAATATTTGGTAGTTATATTTATTGCAATAAATAAAATTATCACAGAAAATATTGCATTGTCCAATGACAGGGAAGTTTTAAAGAGAATATTTCTGCATGTGCTAAGCCTAACAAAATCATATTAATTTGCTTTATAGAATGTTGTACAGCATGTACACTTTGTACTTAATCCTTTAAGAAATAAACCTTGTGTTTACCCATTACAAAAATCAAGGAAGACTTAAATCGTATATCTACCCTTCCAAGTCAAACACTAAGTCACCTATTAGACAAAAGTTGAAAGTAATCTTTTAGCACAAAGCTAGTCTGACAATGAATATTTTTCAGCCTGCAGCTCAACCAATACGGAAAACAATGCATACAGGCTAACTTCATTCTTATGATGTACTTGTTGAGGTAGTGAAGCACTACAACTTAACAATAAATGAGGGAACAGGGAGTTGTTATGCATGACTACAAACTATAGGTGTGAAATTACACACACACAGTGACTGCATATATACAGATCTGAACCATTCAAACTAAACCAAAGTAAAGCTAAAATGTTGAATTTTCAAATGATAAAATTTATTTGGCTTGAGATATCATAATATTATAAATGATAATGTTTCTCTAAATTTGCATGTTTCCACAGAATTACTTTAATTCTTTCAATTAACTGAAAACGAAAAAAAAATTCTCCCATACTTCAGCTTTATTTTTTCTCAAGAGTGATTCTTAATGATAGCTTAAAATAATTGTTAGGATATTTCCAACAGTTTTGTGTTTGTTGTGGAGTTGAAGCTTGTATGTTATTTAAAGCATAACTTAATATAAGCACTATGGTAATAAAGCTTCTGAATGTATTAAATGCTTTAACTAACTCACTGCTTTATTTATAGATAAACAACTCTTCCAGTGCCAGATTTGTTTTTAGATACATTAAAAACAAAATGACACACATTTTAATATTCTTTACCTTTCTGAACTTGAAAGTAGTAATTGTTAAGAAACTTGATGGGGAAATACCCTTTCATTTCTTCATGGTGGTGCAAAATTCTGAACTTGCATGACAGTTCTCTAGATGGAAGCATATATGCGCCTGTGGCAAATACACATGACTTGTGCTTGTCACTTTTACCTAATATGTTTTATACTATTGTCTGGGACCTGTGAGTGGCTTTTGTCATTGACCTTTTGTGGATTCTCACCTGTTACAAGATGCTGCACTTTGCATTACCATGACAGGAGTACAACTTGTTGCCGGCCTCTTTCCAGATGATTGTGTTCCAAGTTGGTCCATATTCTGTATACAAATTTCCACATTATTTTTTCTTAGTTGTATTTTGTAGTTTTATCCTTCTCTCTCTCTCCTGTATTTTCTGTAGTTATTCTAACTGTTATCTCTGCTTTTAATTTTTACAAACACTAATTCTGGTAGTTGGATACCACAGTAGCAAATTTACCTTTTTTTTTAAAGGTAATAAACTATGGAAAGGATAATGATAGCATCTGAACATGTAGCATTTTGGTTTTATTCAGAGGTTTAAGTATGTTATATTAAAACCATTTTTGAGCTTCAGAAAATTATTACATTCCATGTTGCAATGTCCAGTCTTACTATATCTGGTGACTCTGCATCTTAACAATAGCCATTTTTATTGTAGAAGGCTTCATGGTAAGGCTGTCATGTTTATAGCAACTCCTCCCAGATTACTTTCCATAAGCCATCTTAGTGTACAAGGAAAATGATTTCCTAGCACCTGTTTCAACAGTCCAGTTGCACAGAAATCCATGACCACTACATCTGGTAACTTGACTGATATATCTTCATGTGGAATATCATGAATAATCCATTTCATTCTTAAGCTACTTGAGGTATTTGATGGTTGAACAAATGTCATGAAAGCAATGCATATTTGTGAATTGAATAGACAAGTTTTCATTTACTTCAAAGATCACCCTTCTGTGATATTAATTACAACTCTTATTTGTACTCATGGGTACTGCCATTGACTTCCTATTTCCTATTAATGTAATAAGGCTAGTTATGCTTTAATTTGTAAAATATGTACTACATATATACAAATCTGTGTGTCAATATATAATCACAGGAAGTTACTTTCTGGTCCTGCCAAGTGCAGTTTGGAGGCACTATTTCTACATGATAAACCACTCACTGAAGAATATTCACATTTATTTCATCAAAATTACACTGATGCACAGCCTCAAGCATGCATTTCGAATGGGTTACAACTTTACTATATCAGAAAGATTATCAGTAATAAAACATCATTTAAGTAAGTGTGAAAGGTAGCTTTAAAGTTCTTTGTTAGAAACAAAATTAGGACTGTGGTTAGAATAACATCTATGGTCTCAAACACTTAAAAGATATATGCATATAATACAAATATAAACACACATAACTATAAATACATCTATACAGAAAGAAGTCAGTTTACTCAGAAAGGGTAGATAATCTGGGATACACCACCATTAAACTTGCATATGCCAATCTCTAAAGCCTTTAAACAAAACATTATAAGCATACCATGTGTAAATATATTTATAGAAAGATGAGAGGGGAAAAAAAAGGGGGTATTACTGTATTTAACCAGTACAATATGTGACAAGAGTAAATGCAGTATTAACTTAGCAACAGATAATATGTACTAAAAATTTATATTATGATACACAAAACCTCCAAATGTTGTGCAAAATGGAGTCTAATTAAAAATTATACCAATTAGAAGATTCATTGACTCAAAGCATTACAATAATTATACAATATTTTATGTAAAGAGAAAATCCTTTGAGGAAGAAGAGAAGAAGATATAAAATGATGAAACTGAAAATGTGCAATAGCTAAAGAAAGTGTTTTAATGAAATTCAAATTATTTACATCTTACTATATGGTATCTGGAGACTGGATAGCATAGGTTATTCTAAGAATCATCACGTGATGTTGTGAATATTTATCATACATACACACACACAGAGTAGAGCTGGACAATTAACTTGATTAATCAATTACCTGTAAGTACTGATTAAATAAACTAGTGTAACAAAATAATTGATTAATGTCATAAAAATAATCACCTTCTTGAAATACTGCCAATATGATTTTCCATTATTATTGTAAATTAATGCAAGGGTGTTCAAGCTTAACTGTTTAGTGTCACAGTTTCTGAAAGTAATCTACTAATCAAAATTAGTGTTTCTAATTACTACTATTTTCATTTATTCCAAATATCCAAGTCTTGTGAAAGTAATCAATTAGTTTAATGTAATTGATTAATGAACCTGACAATCAATCCATTACAAAATTCCATTAACTGTCCAGCTAATACAGTATACCTCCAAGATGGTTTAAGTACATCATACATGCTTCATTTACCATAATAATAATAATACATATCTATGAACTATATATCTTAAGATAAGGAAAGGTGTGAAAGCAAACAACTTAAAGCTGGTAGTTTGGCTTCTATAAGTAACTAAGTAGAAGTGCTTTATATTTTAAAGAGAGATATTAATATGAAAGGAAATGATTTTTTACCAGATCTTTGATGCTTTGTTTTTTTATCATTTGTTTATTGGATCTTCTTTGTTCCTGTGAAGTAAGTTCTAATGTTGTAACTGAATTTCATATTTGTTATCCTTTCTATATGAAAATTTGAATTATTCAGAACATATGAAAGTTGTCAAGTACCCATTTTCTACACTTTATATTAGTGTGTCACACACACATATATACACGTGTACTCAAACTAAGTCAGAAACAAAAAATTTAGCAGCATAAAGTTAATTTCTGAAACATACCTAGCCAAAGAAAGTAATACTAAAAGCATAATAAATGAAAATATAGCAACGTAAAAAATATAAATTCTGCATAAAAAAAAGATCAATCCAAACTAGTTGTAAACAACAAAGATACTAAAGTAAATAAATCAAATAAACCATACTTAAAAGTACTAATTTTTAAGATCAAAAATAAAATATGCCTTTGAATGATCTAACTTAAAAAAATTCAAATAAATCACGATTCTCTATACTTACAAAATTTAATATGAAAATATAGCCTATTCACATAAAAAAAAATAAACTTAAAAAGACAAAAATATATATTTATAAATAGATGACAGATTACATATAACAAGATCCACATACATGGATTTTCATGATGTCACATCCCTCAGTATAGAATAATGCGAGTACAGTGAGCTAATGGACCATCAGATTTTCCAAGAAGAGACCAATGAAGATGTTATCCATATAACATGACACTGTATCATTCAGATACACTGATATTTGTAGTTAAAAGTATTTGCAAAATGCAGATTCAGGACTGTTAAGTGAGAAAAAAAAAACTGAACCCGGAAAGCAAATGAAAAGAACCCAAAGTGAACAAATGAACTAAATCTATACTTATAAAAGTGTAGTGTATTTTACCAAGCTGGATAACTTACAACTTTCCATTATATCTTCATTAGCTGCTGGAGTGGAGAGGAAGTTTTTAAAATGTCCACACAGGGCAAGAACAGAAATAATTAATTATACCACACTAGGTCAGACAAAAGGTCCAACTGCAGTATGCAATAATTTATGGATTACCTACATCCCCAGCTATTCCAACTAACATATTCAAGAAAGGGTACTCCAACTCATACCAACCTGTAAAAGTATCTGGGACCTCGAGATGTACTTGCCCTGTCAGAAGAAGGGGACACAGGGTCAACTTGATACAAGCTTCTATATAATAGACATTGCCACAAGTAACCTTCACCTAAGAAAAGGGATTAGCCCATTTGTGACCTTTTGGCATCAACTTAACAATAATGTTATTACTACATACAGAACATCTGCATGAAAAGTTAGAGAAATTACCAGGATATACATTACTACAGATATATTCTGAACTAGTATATATATATATATATATATATATATATATATA